CAGCAAACTTGCTAATGGTGCATTCAACTCGTGCATCCAGATTGTTGAACAGGACTGGCCCTAGATTTGAACCCTGAGGAACACTGCTGGTGACCACTTGCCAGCCCGATGTAGCCCCATTCACTACAACCCTCTGAGCCCTGCCCTTCAGCCAGTTCTTCACCCAGCGCACTGTGAACCCGCTCATCTCACAGTTGGACAGTTTGTCCAGAAGGATGCTGTGAGGGACAGTGTCAAAAGCCTTACCAGAAAAACTACAATCACTAGGCGTGTGACTTTATCATATAAAGATATCAAATTAGTTAAATGGGACTTTCCTTTTGTGAACCCATGTTGACTGTGCCTGAGGATTGCATTATTCTTTAAACGCCTTTCAGTAGTACCCGGTATAATCTTCTCTGTAATTTTTCCAGGAACGAAGGTTGGACTAACAGGTCTGTAGTTTCCTGGGTCTTCCCTTACGTCCTCGTCAATTGGAATAACATTGACTAGCTCCCAGTCAGCAGGGACCTCCCCAGGCTCCCAAGACCTTTGGTAGATGATAGAGAGAGGGCCTGCCATAACATCCACTAGCTCCTTCAGAACTCTGGGATGAATCCCATCAGGCCCCGTGGACTTGTGAACATTCAGCTGATACAGCTGGTCCCTTACAATTTCAGTGTCCACAAATGGAAAGTCACTGTTCCTACACTCATGGTCCTCTGACTCAGGGGACTGGGCAGCTCAAGGTCTATCAGTATTATTAAAGACTGAGGCAAAAAACCGCATTGAATGCCTCTGCTTTTTCTTCATCCCTATTAGTCTGCTGACCATCTTCAACAACTATTGGTCCAATGTTTTCTTCAGACCTCCTCTTTCTATTAGCGTATTTAAAAAAGCCTTTTAAGGGATCATAGAGCAGTTTACAAAGGAAGCAAGCTTCATATCTCAGATGGGTTTTCGAACAAAGGATGTGGCCTCTGAGGAGAACATAAATGCCTTTAAGGCATTACAGGGCAGGTGAGATTTTTGCATAAGCCCAGGTCTATAGCAGAAAGGATTGTTCTGTCTGCTAGGGTGAAGGGTGTGCCTCCTGTTCTCCAAACATTGAATCTGATATTCTTTTGTTTTTCCATTTTGCTTTCACTTTCAAGCTATAGGGGAATTAGCCATAGAGTGATGCAAATGGTTACTTTGAGCTAGATCCAGATGTAAAAATATGTCTTGCCCCCTGGGTGGGGTGTGCTAGGGAGAGCAGCTGCTTTCTTCATCCAGCCTGTGACCATCTGCATAATTCTGATTCCATGCAATTGAAGCTAACTGTCAGCTATGGCAGTGCTCAGTAAGATAGCATTAAGTGTGACCTTGCTGCTGCCTCCTTCCCTGTTGCACTACTTTATAGATGTGGTTTTTCTCCCTTTTTAAAAATAGTATCCATTCTGTTTAATTTGCCTTTTTTTTTCTTAGGCATTCTGAAGCCTACTAAATTTCATTTATCAATCTTAGTAGTTAGGTGTCTCATTTTAGTGGTATATATGTGTACATGTGATATTTTTGATTAACTTTTCAGTGGGGTTCTGTGCCCTGTGGTGATTCATGCTTCCCTTATTCTGCCACTTCTCTCTAATGTTGTGAAACAATAGGGTACAAACTGCATGACCCTCTACTACTTATGGAGACGTTTGAACTGAAGAAATAAGTTTTGTTTAGGACAGGGTGAAGTCCACTATTTGCTTTGAATGTTGACTGTTAGCTGTTTGACAATATTTTTTTTTTTTATTGCCCATGTCACCATATCCATTTTTTTTAGTGCAGCCTTTAACTTGAAAGCCTGTACCTCTGTCTTTCCCATCATCTAGCCTTGGACTAATCCTGTTAGTGAGTCCACAGGTTTTCTTTCTGTCTGGGGTACTTACTTATACAAAGCACGTGTCTAGATGTTCATGCTTTTTAGCAGTATCTGCTAACCACAAGAAATGAGGTTGTATGTTCCAGAAAGTAGAATTTAAGGGAACTTTTATTTTAGGAAGCATGTTTGTAAATCTTATTAACTGACAAACTATGCTATATAATGCCCCCCTGGCTGGCTGGGCAACAACTGAAATTACAGAGGCTCTGTCTGCTGAGGAAGGTCCATTTTTAGTATTGTTACTCAAGCAGATCTCCACTTCGATGTAAAGCCAGCAGCATTCCTTTATGTAAAGCATTAGGAAGACATGTCTGGGAGTGGAGCTAGGAGGGAGCTCTTTGCCTTTTTGTAAAGCTGTATACACCAAACTTCTGGAGAAGAGTGCAGGGCTATATTGGGAGAAGGAGCACGCTGATAGTACAGAAGACTTGTACTCTGAGATTAGGATTGTCACCTGTGAAGATTTAGGGATGGTAAATGTTGCCAGCAAACCTTTTCAAGTGTGTTTCAAAACTTTAATATTGACACCCCGGCTGAAATTTGTTCCTTCTCTTACTTCTTGGTCAGTGATGGGAGAATCTTTTCTTTTTAGATCAAAAATGAGAGAATGAAAGAGCTACTTCCTGCCTGTTGTGGTTGTTACTAGTCACTTGTGGATAGCCTTATCTCTACACTTGGCTTCATTTGCAGTAAAGAATCAGTGCTGACCTGTGCAAGTCTCTTATCGTTGAGGTACCAAAGAGATGAGATATGTGGGGGCTGGTCAATGCTTCTTATCAGGCAAGAATGTCTGACAAACCAGTACTGTTACTGGCTGGCTTATAGGTTTGGTGGACTGTCTTTGTAGATTGCAAAATCTCTGAAGATCAAGTGTTTAATCTCAGATAAATTCCACAATATGTTTAGGATTTTGCCAGTCTCCAGTTTAAATGTATCTCCTCTGTCCAATACTGAAGGACTGCTGTACTCAGTCAAGCAGTGAATATTTGTACCTTAATCCAGTGAGTAAAAATGAGTAAAAGAGATACCAGGAACTCCACAACAGGCTGGATATTTTTACTTTGTTATCTGCCTGTGCTTTCAAGAAAAACTCCAAGAGCTTGAACTTGTTTGGAAGGAATTGGTGGCAGAGGACACACTGGGTGCTGTGACCAAGTCTGAGCATCAAAGCGGTTCTCAGATACGGAGTAGGAAGTGTCCCTTGAGGGCTTGGCAGAGGGCAGATGGCTCTCCACACTCCAAGGACGGTGTATGTCCTAACTAAGTCTGCATTTCTGGATGTCTAGAGGCGCAAGAGTTTGGGCTAGACAACAGGAATTAAATCTTAAAGACCACTTGGAACACGTGAGCTGCTGTGTCATCCTTTATGCTGCTCCTGTTATGTGCCCAAGTTTAAGACTAGGATCTGGATCAAGCCTAGTTTAAAGATAAGAAACTTTCTAGTTGTCTTGATCAATCTTATGCAAGCTGCTTAGGATGGGCCACCGAGAGGCCCCTTGGCTCTAAGTAATTGATTGTATGGCTCTCACAGAAAAGCCCCCCATCCCACTGTAGAAGTACTTAAGACCAAGTGGGACCTAACCACTAATTGATGTGTGGTTTTGCTCTTTGAAGACTCTAGAAACTGTCTCAGTTTTTCAAATGTCTGCTGTAGAGTTACAGTAGTTTCCAAGATTTTAGTTTCATGCTTTTAAGATTGAATACACACAGGAAGTTAACAAGGCAAATCAGTACTGAAGATTTAAACCACTTCCTTTTTTCTGTGTGTGCATTGGTAAAACAGTTATTTTGTAATTCAAACTACAGTAGTAAGCTTTGGATCTCCATGTATGAAACCATGTTTTAAAACCCCTCCCCCCACCCAGAAAGCAGACTTTAAAATAAAATCCTTTTTTCACCATTTTGATGTTGACCTACCATTTGGATACTTTTAATCCTCAATCTGTATAAAAGTTTTGTCTTTCATTAAATCCTTTATGTTTTTTTTTCTGTGGATTTCTGAAGTAATCCTTTGTGTGCCATATAGCTTGTTCTTCAAATTGCTTGCATACAATCTCCTCATTTCTAGGAGTCCTGTTTAGAAGGTTTTAAAACATTGATTTTAAACAAAATTCAGCTGGATATACATTTCTAACCAGAAGTCAGCGTTACACATTCTGCATCTCTAAAATCTTATCCTGTTGAAACTGTTCAGTACTTTCTGTAATTTAGTCAGTGAATATGAGTCAAATGAGGCACTTGGCAGAGGAGTCAGTGATGTACTTGGTAATGAGCAAGAATCTTTTCATAATGGCTTTCGTTGGGATTTCTTTCCTCTTGAAGATTTTATGGGAAAGAAAGAGTCCATTCAAAAGGGAGTGTGTATATTCACAGTTGTGCCCATAGATAGATATTGCTGGACTGTTAATGGTATATTGAAATATATTTTCCTTTCTGTAGCTCATGTTGCATGCATCTGCAATATTTTTTTCATCATATCTATGTATCTTAAATGTAGAACATGTAGTGAGAGAGTCCAGCATTTCTTCTCTGGCTTATCCGGGGTCTTTTTTTAATGCTTTACTTTAAAAAGAAAAAATTGATTTAAAAAAAAATATAAAGCTACCTGGCATTGGCCATCTCTTGATGTCTTTATTTAACCACGTAAGGATTTATGCTAACCCCTTGGAATATATGTCAGGGTAGTTGATCTCATTTCACTGTGAAAACTGTGCAAGAGTCTCATCCTCACCATTCATGCGGTAATTCTCTGCTTCCTTCCCATCCCTGTATAGGTCGCACATATTGCTGTCCTGAGTGAAGAGTTCTTTCATCACAGGATGGATTCAGTGATCCCGTTTATGTAGTGCAGCACTACAGACGTTGTGCTGATGTAACTGATGGAAGCGGTGAACTGGAGTGCATGGACAGGAACGAGTAGCTAATGTGGAGAACTGAGAACCTCATAAGGTGCCTTTGCTGAGGCTAATGTAATGTGTAAATATATCCTCGGCCACCCTGATAATACTAGAGGGTTTGAGTTCTGTATAAAGTTCCAGTCACCTTATGCTAGGCTAGTGCTCTGTAGTGTTTTTCAATCTAGTGCTAATTGCCCTAAAGGAGATTTACTGTTTCTTGAACCACTGGTATACTTGAGTAAATCACTGTTGGTTCAAATCATTTAGGTTAATAGGATCCTGTCTGACATAATTTTAGTCAGGATTGTGAAGCTGCGTTTGGAAGGCACCTTCTTCCCCATATAATACACCTATCCTGGTGATAAGATAGGGAGACCTCTGAATGTGAATGAACTATATGTACCTGAGCCTTTTGTAATGTGTAACTTCAGAACAGTTCCTTCTGTAAGCATGTGAACACTTAAGTGAGGACCAAGGCCTTGGCCAACTGGTAGATCTTGGTAGCAAGCTAGAGGGCAATATTATGTTTGAAATAGGTGGCCACTGCACCAATGCTTACTGGAATTGAGGTCAGGGCACCATGGTGTTAAAGCTCTAATATTTTGAGGGAGAATGAAGGAAACTTAGAGTGGTGACAGTGAACAAGAGGTGTTGCCTAGGTCACTGATGTCTTACTTTTGAGAAATCTGTGTGGTGACTTTAACAGTGTTTTGCTCTTCTAGATGCTTTGGCTTTGTTATAAATCCCGTTTGATAAATGTATCCTTGAAATAGAGCAGGTTTTTTTCTCTCTTGTAAATTTTTATTGTCTAAAATGTCTAATCAAGTTCCATCAAGGAATGTATAGCAGTAGCCTTCAAAAGTATGGCTGTAATATTAGTCTCTTATGATCAAATGATCTAGTTTAGAGATCATCTTTGTACAGTTCTTCCAGAAAGGGCAGCTATGTCTTAACCACAAAAACTTAATTTATAAAAACTTAGTGTATAACTAATGTTCATCTTTAAGTCAGAATATTCTCTTGATGCTAGGATCTGTGATATTTTTGTGGAAACATCTCGATACTTAATTTTTGCAAGAGATTCCCATTGCTTTTTTTAGTGTGTTTGTTTTGTTTTAGTGGGTTTGTGTTTAGTAATATTTAATTTACTGTGAAGTATCTCAGAGGGACTTGAACTTGGTGTTTTATTATGCCTTACTATAGGCCATTATCTCACATTTTTCCATCCCCACAGTCTTTAAGTGGGTAAATGTTACCTTCTCTGCAGATATTTCCAATTAAAAAAGGGCATTGATTATAAAATGATACAAGCTATTTTCTTACCTTGAAAAAATTTAAGCTGTAACATGAAATAATGTTTAGCTCAAAACAGTTAAAAGTATGTTTAGATTCTACTCATGCATGTTTTAACAAGTTTTTTTAACTCGTCACTGAACCTGATTTTTAAGTGCATATCTTTAATTATTCTATTATTGAAAAGCTAAATTGAAATTTGTCTTTATAGAGAAAGCCACCTGAGTGTGCTAGCAAGTTACAGAACAGCTGATTTCTCAAACGTGTAAACGGAAAGGATATTTTCTACTCCCTTTTTTAAATGGTAAGTTGTTCAAGGGAGCTCTTACTGAGCGTACTTTGTCATTTACTTTGCATTTGTGTGAAAGTATTACAAATAGCTTTGAAAACTGTGATAAGTCCTTAAACTGAAGACCAATGATGAAGTTTGGAAACTGCCCAGAGGGTTTTGAGTTAGCATTGGGAAGGAGGTTTATTTTTTGTGATGTTGAAGATATGCTGTATTAGGCCCTGAAACAAATGTCAAAAGCACTGCTAGCCCAGGAGACTAGTATCATTTAAAAACTAATCTTATTGTGTAGAAAACAGAAATAAATTTACTTTATTCATGGTTGTTCATGAGATACTGGATTTATAAATTTGCATCTGTTAATTACTTTTAGCCTGTATAATCTGTACTTTGCTGATGACAAAGATGACAATCTTAGAGATTTAAACTAAATCTGCTGAGGTTAAATGTTGGACTGTTTGCCTCAAAGTGCAATGGATAATAAAAGTTTTATATTTATTGATATTAAACTAGCTTTGTTGGGAAAAATCCCCCCACCCCCAATCTGTCTCAGCTGCGACATGCACACCATAGACTTTTAGATGAGGAGTATATGTTGTGTTGGTGGAAGAGGATGAGAAAAGCTGTGTAGCACTTCCTTCACTGTGTGACATAAGATGCTGGCCACACTGCTAATGAAGGACTACTGCCAAAGTGCAGACAATTTTGTTAAAATAAGCAAAGCTGATTAACTTTTTTTTTTTAGGGGGCTGCAGCTTGTCTGCTTCTGCAGTGGGAAGGAGAAACCTTTTGAGCAGGGGAAGAAACTGAAGAGCAGGTTTGTTCTTCCTTCTGAGAGGATGAGGGGGTTAAATGTAGTATTAACTACTTGTAGGAGAGACTGCTTTCTTCCTGCATTGCACACACAGTGCTGCCTTTGGCAGAAACCGCAGCCAGCCTTGCTTCAAGGTCTCTGAACAAAGCAAAGTATGCAGCGGTGCTTTAGGATACTATTGACTTTGCCTATGTCTTAGAGCTGACCCTGGCTATGATCCTTTGGCACACTTTGTCCCCTCAGATGAAATTCACATACGCTTATTTTAATTTTGAGTTCTGATTATATGCTTGGTGATATTCAAGATGCTTATCAGCATATATGTTCTGAAAGAAATTGCACCTTAAGTTAGGAGAAACTCAAAGGAGTTCTGGAAAACTCTATGTATGCATGCATTTACAATGTCAAGTAAGAAACTTTATTTTGAGGGATGGAAGGGATCAGGAAGCAATATGGTGCATGCAGAAATGTGAAAGTTACGGCAACAGTCTTTGAAGGAGAAGGATGAATGAAAACCATTCTTTCTGCCTTCTGCCCCTCCCACAATTCCCATTAAATGGTAAGGTAACTTGATGGTTATATACTGAAATTGTTTGGAAAAAAAGATCACTTACTGTAAACTTGAAAGGCGGAAGAAGTGTGTCAGGGAAAGTAAGTAGTCTGCAAAAAATTTGGTAAATCAAATGGACGTATCGAAGACTGAAAATATGCTTCACTACAAGATTATTAGATTATCATATTGCTTATTATTTAATGAGACATGAATGTGTGTGCAAAGGTCTTCCAGTAGCTAATCCATACCTATGGTCGCTCTAGTAGCTGATTTAAAAACCCTGATCTGTCCAGTATCTGGCCCCAGACTTAACGGTCTCTCTAGTAGCTGGCTTTACAGACCTCTGCTCCTGCTTTTGGGATTTAAAAAGTCACAGTTGTCATTTTAACTTCCAGTGTTTCTTTTTTTTTTTTAGATTATAATCTATAATCCATTGTTACAGGACTGTTATATTTCAGCTGCATTTCATGCTGCGTGGAAACATCATTGCCTGCTTTTATTCATGGGAGACTGTAAAGATTAGTTGTTACAGGAATAAGAATCTAGGTTTAGGAATATTTTACCCAGGTTGTATTTATTCATAAAACTTCAAAAATTATTTTAAAATATTTGCTGTTCATGCTCAGTGTAGTATTATCAAATATTTTCTGTTTCTTTGTGCAGGTTAAGCACAACTTTCATGTAGAATTTAATGGAAATGTATCTAGTGTTTAATAGTCTGGAGTTTAATGTAGCTGAAGGGTATTTTAAAGACAATGCTGAACATACTTGAAAATAATCAGCCTTTGATTTTAAAAAAAGTATTAAAACCTAATTTTAGTAAACATAATAAATTCTAATTTTTGGTTGAACACTGATCATTCATGTATCACAAACGTTCTAATAGGACATACAATTTGGAAACTCTACCTGGTCAATAAAATAAGCTTGTATTTACAATAATGATTGATTTCTACATAAATCTAATCTTTTTCTTTTTAAACTTCGGCTTCAAAGATTTTCACTTACAAGTCATAATTAAAAATTTAAATGGCTTAGTTCACCTGTTTTGCATGCATAGTAAAGCATTTTCATGTTAAATCAAGTCATCATTTTGTCACTTGGATTATAATTTTGCCTTGTCTTTTCTTGCTTTTCTGGATTTCCTGGCGTGTTTTGCTAATGTAAACGCCCCCAAAAGTTGTCAATTTGCTTAAAATACAACTATTAGATGTTTGTGAAAGCTGTCAATTCCTTAACATGCTATCCTGTGCAAGTAGCATGCAGTGGCTTTTCTAAACTTCCATTGTAATCCTACAACACTGCATTACAAAAGTGTCTTCCACAAAGAAAGTTAGAGAGCATGTAGTCAGGAAGGAAATACCAAATGCAGGGCTTAAAAAGGGACCCTGATGCTTACCAGCCCCAAATGTCAATTCACTAGACCAGCTGAAGAACTCCTTTGTCATCACATACAAGGAATTCTAAGAAATACACATTTATAGTTAGTTTGGCATATAGGAATGTTGCATATTCAGTTATATTTTTTGAAGAAAGATGTTAAAATTATGTTTGTGATTGCTGTGTGGATAAGACTATTCCAGTCTTCAGAAATGGTTTTATTGTGAAAGCAACTTAGGTATTTTTAGTCAGGGTTAAACCAAATTTATTTGCAAAGACTTTTGCCTGTACTATCTGACTCTTCAGTCACATAACCTGTATCCTTTGTGGCTGGCAAATTATAGAATGATTTATAACTTAAATTCTTGATTTAAAACAAACTATTAAGAAAAGTTTCCTCTGAATTTTCTTCAGAAGACTACAGTTTGCATTTTCCCTGAAGGAAAGAAGCTTTTCAGAATAGACGAGAGTTAGCGCAAAAGGTAGGTTGGGCAGGAGAGAGAAATAATCTTCTGGAGAATGGTGAAAGGTTTTTGGACTACTCGACCAGCCAAAAGCAGAAGATCGCTGATTGTATAGCAGTGGATGGGGGGAGAAGTAGGACAATGTTTCCCAAATGGTCTCCAGGGGAGACAAAAGGCCCATGAGAGAGGAGAAAGTATCCCAAAATCCTTGCATTACAAGTGGTAATGCATTTGTAGAGAGAGACTGACTTAATACATGATAAATAAGTCTGATCACAGATGATGATCTTCAGAAGTGCATGCATTTTCTATGAGCTTTTCTTGTGTTCTGTCTGATTTTGATATTAGAAGAGGCTGAGTATTTGGGCTGAACACTTGCCTGTCTTGAGTTAAACTCTATTCAGTGTGCACTTATTTACGTTTTCGACTTGACTGCATGGAGTTGAGGGACTTTATATTTTTAAATTGCAGCCTGGCAAAATGGATTTGATGTTAATACACAAGGAGGAGTAATTTGATAAAACTGGCCCCTGTGCTGTGAGAGCCTTAGCATGCTCATCATGTTTTCAAGATAGTGATGTGAACGCATACAGAAATGTTCTTCATTATCGCTGTCTGAGAATGTGGGAAATTCAGTGCTACTTCAATATTGCAAATAAATGCAGTCATTGGCCTCTTCTCTGAACTTTTTCTATGATTGGCATTGTAGTAACTTCCCTTCTGAATTATGCAACTAGTGTGTAGGGATCTGCTTGAAGATGAGGTTTAAATCTTGGTTACCTATGCAATGATTAACTACATCAGTTTCTAAATCTAACTGATGTAGTTAAACTACTTCTTGAACTGTGTAGATTAGTCTCTAATGGCTTGATTTTTTTCCATACATGCAGCTTGTAGTCTCTGTAGATTACATTGACTATTTTAAAGTGTAGTTAAGAGCAATGTAAGTATTGATAGGCTTGTTACACAATTTGGTGGGGTGTATGGAAAGTGCATGTAATCATGGATAACTTTAAATGACAGTCTTTGAGAATCACGCATTTGTGCCTAGTGTTACCCTATCAGTCCACAAAAACTCTGGTTTCAAATGCAGTTGCACAAGTTTTGCGTAGTTTGTGATTCTCAAATAGCCTCAGGCAGGGTGCCAACAACCGCAGTATTGCCTCCTGGAGCCTCATCACAGAGGTGGCAATAGCAGTCCTCTTTTTGCTCAGCAGCCAGCTGGTTACAGCCTTAGTCAAGAAATCTATTCCTCTTGGATTGTGGGATCTCGTGAGCTCAATGTGATTCAAACTAGTAATTGCATTTCACAGGAGAGTATTTTATCACCAGGATAACAGCAACAACAGTGCTGGGATGGAGGCAAGTTTACAGTAAGCTCACTTCAGAATTCTGTATCTTTCTTTGTTTCTGTTTAAAGAAAAACAAAAACATCCTGGACATCAACATTCTAGGATTTAATTTTTTTCCCATTGTTTTCACTTCAGCATGTTTAGGTTCAAAATCTACTTACTGGTGTTAAGAATGAACATCTACTTCTAGGAGACTTTTGTTCAAAACAATTTAATGACAGATCAATACTGAAAGCATTTTGGTCCAATATGCAAATATTTTGAAGCAAACTCATGGCAAACTTCAGGACTGACCGTTGTGGAACCAGAGTGGGGAATATAATCGAATTGTTTTTGGAAATAGGTGCTGAAATTAATTTCAGACTGCTTTCTTTAAGTTCACAAGATACTGCAGTGATCATCAGGTTCTAGATGGCTGCCCTTTCCTCTTTAACTTCAGGAATAAAATTAAA